AATTGTATGTTTTTTCAAAAAAAGAAGGTAACATAATTTTGAAACTTTTTTCAGTCTTAGGAAGTCATTCAAAAGAATATCGCTTGCATTCAACAACAATAAAATATCATGTTTACAGTCACCATGCTTTATAGTATCTTTCCAATTCTTAGGAATGGCAGCTAATATTGAAAAATAGGTTAGAAATGAATCTGAACCATACTTCTGTAACACTTGATCAAACGGTATAAAGGACCCATCATGGTTTAATATATCTTTTATATATATCATATTTTCTTTAAACCACCTTTCAACAAAAATCGGTTTACCATCAATCAAAATGTGAGAGTTAAACCATAAGGGTTGTGAAATGATTTCCTTAAACTTAACTGGATTATAGTACTTGTAATGACACCACGCAGTAAGAACATCCTTCCAAAATGGATCTATGTTTTCATTAAAAACCATGTGCTTTGAACAAATATTCCACTTAAAGAAGTGGTCTCCGCCAAACTTTTTGAGAGATGATTTCAAAAAGATTTTCCATTTACTTTCATTTTGATAATCAAGGTATCTTTTAACCCATGTAATTTTCATTGCATCATTAAAAGATGACAAATGGAGCATTTTTAGACCCCCTTCGTTATATTCATTGTAAAGTAGGGAACGTTTGATCTTGTCATTTTTGTTACTCCATAAAAATTTGAATAATAATTGCTGAATTTCCACAATAAAGGACGGAGGAGGGTTGGGTATAGTGCTCAAGAGATAGGTCAGTTTTGGAATGATAAGGGATTTTATAATAACAATTTTTCCATAAAGCGTAAGGGTTCTGCAGTTCCAAATATTTAAGGTTGTTTTAATATCCTTAAGTTTGGGTTTGAAGTTGAGTTCATAAAAATTCAGGCAATTGTTGATAGGGATATTAACTCCTAAGTACATGAAATTATCCGACGGCCATGTAAATGGGATATCACGACACAATATTTGTTTAAAATCCCCCAATCTTATTATATTACACTTTTCAATGTTAATTTTCAACCCAGACATATCTCTAAAAACATCCAAGACTTTCATACAACGTTTAATATTTAGTTCATTTGGCTCAAGAAAAATAGTTGTGTCGTCTGCATATTGACTGATTTTGATCTCCATATCGTGAACTTTCAAACCTATAATGTATTTATTTTGTCGAATTAAAGAGCCGAGGAGCTCGACCGCTACGATGAACAAATATGGAGATAATGGGCACCCTTGTCTTACTCCTCGCTGTATTTCGAAGGGGTTTGAAGAAAATCCATTGTTTATTACACACCCATCAATATTAAAATATAACAGTTGAACCCATTGGATAAAGGCTTGATCAAAACCAAAAATGTTCAAAGCGTAATATAAAAATTCCCAGTCAATCATATCGAACGCCTTTTCGAAGTCAATACTCAAAGCCACGCCTTCGATATGATGTGCTCTACAGAAATTTTGAATGTCAATGAATAGACGTATGTTTTCTCCAATGAAACGGCCTTTGAGGAAACCATACTGGTCATTGCTTATCAGTTTTGGTAAAACCTTTTGAATACGTAAAGAAAGAAGCTTCGCTAAAATTTTATAGTCACTGTTCAGGAGCGATATTGGACGCCAGTTCTTAAGAGATAACAGGTCCTTACCCTTTTTTGGAAGCAACGTAATAACACTTCGTCGCATTGAATTAGGGAGAGACTTTTCCGAAAAAGAACTATTATAAACGGAACATAACAGTTCCTTTATTTCGGGCCAAAAGGCTTTGTAAAATTCAATAGGGAGACCGTCAGAGCCTGGTGACTTATCGTTAGAAAAAGTTAAAATAGATTCAAAACATTCCTTTTCCCATATCTTTTCACCCAAACAACTTTTGTCTCTCAAATCTAATACAGGCAAGTTCAACTCGTCTACAGGCGCAAAAGATCTAGCACCTGTGATATTCGATGAATACAAACGATTATAAAAAGACCTTTCTTCCTCAAGAATACCTTTTGCATCAGTTACAACGCCGTTCTCAGTCCGTAGTCTTGAGATACATTTTTTCTGAAAGTTTCTTTTTTCTAGATTGAAAAAATACTTAGTGTTGTGTTCACCCTCAGCAATCCACTTAGCCTTGGTACGCACAATGGTACCACGCACAACTTCTTCTTGTAATTCTTCAAATTCACTCTTTTTACTTTTTAGTTCGTTTAGAAGTTGCTGGTCATTGACAACATTGTTTGCATCATTCAACTTATTTATTTCTTTTTCTAATTGCTTTAATTTTGTCTGGCGATTGTTTTTCTTTTCTTTTGCAATTTGTGTAAACTTTTGTCTTACTTTGAACTTTAAAAACTCCCAGGTCTTTTTTGGCTCCTGATCTTTGTTTTCTAATAAAACTGTGTTAATTTCACTCCTGATCTTCTCCATATTATCTGAATTTGCTAATAAAGAAGTATTCAATTTCCAAAATCCCGGTCCCCGTTTAGCTACTGATTTTATTAAAAACAGAGAGATCAGTGAGTGGTCTGTTTTGTAACCAAAGTCAATGTCACATTTCAAAACTGATGTTATCAAACTTTGTGAAATTAAAAAGTAATCTATGCGGCTTCCAATTTTAAAGTCATGGGACATCCATGTATATTTCAACTGTGTGGAATGACAGGATCTCCATATATCAATCAATTCAAAGTCGTTTATTATATCAGTAATGGCTTTAAAGCACTTAGGGTGATTTTGTAACAATTTGGGAAATTTGTCTAATTTGGCCTCCATAACTGTGTTAAAATCTCCACCAATTATATACGGTTCTTCCCCGTGTTCTGATAATAGGTTATGTAAATCAATGAAAAAGCTGCCATCGTCATTGTTTGGGCCGTATATATTTGCGAGAGTTATCATGGTTTCATTGACTTTTAAAGTGACCAATAATATTCGACCTTTGTCATCTCTAACAGTATTCAAAACATCAAAGGTAGCTGAAGGTTTTAATAACATACACACTCCTGCACTATCAGATCGACCGTGGTTAAAAATGATTTTATAACCCCACTCATGACTCCATATTTTTTCTGAATTTGCTGTGGAGTGCGTTTCTTGTAAAAAAATAACGTGAAAATCTGTGTTTCTTATCCAATTAAAAATACAACGTCTTTTAAAAGAGTTCCCAAGTCCTCTTACATTAAGAGAACAGATTTTAAAGTCAATTTTCTCATCCATTAAACACGTTAGATACAATTGTATGTTCTTTTATCATGACAGAGCAATATTTGGGGGGAAAGTTAGCATGAATTATCTTCCTAAAATACAATTTACACAAGTTCAACAGTCTTTGTGAAAGTTATCTTGCTAACAAAAAAGTGGGTCAAAATAAGAAAAATAAACTAGACATAATACTTGTTTGGAACAAGTATAGGTGGGCTGGTCAACTAAAATTTGAGACAAAATAGAGCAAAAATAAGCGAGATACTGCTAAAAAACAACGTCATTGATGTAATGATGAAAACGAAATTCCCCTTCCATAGGCATAACACGCAACGTAAGAAATTTTTGATATGTGCCCTTTAATCGTAATTTTCACTATGAGGAAGCATCAAAATAAAAAATGGTGTTGACTGTTGACTATTAATATGCTGACGTCATTATGTGCAAATTCGTATTTTGAGTTCCAAGGCCATTATGATGATGTCACGATACACTTAATGGCCAAATGAGAAATGGAATCATATTTCTGACTCATACTCTATCTAAATATGAAAAAACATTGAAGGTCACGGTTCATTCCAAAGAGCTATAATGGATTTTGTATAGGCATGTTTTTGCCCATATATGCTATGTAATAAAAGAGCTCGCGCACGGACATTTATCTTAAATTGACGCTCATCTTGTTATTAATGGTCATAAAGAGATAAACATGGTGTCAAATTCCTCGAAAAAATATGAGAAATATCATGAAAGAAAAAAAATGGCGATTCGATGTTTTGTAATGGTGTTACGCGCGATAACGCGCGCGCATACGCGTGTGCGCGATTTTTTATAAAATGCTTAAAATGACCTGAAACGTATGCAAAATAAATTTGAGACGATTTTGAGCATTTAAAATTTTTGCGCGCGCACTGACGCGCGGACGTACGCGCACGCGCGCGTTTTTTGACCTGAAATTAACCGGACTGATATTGACCTTGATCATGATAAATATGAATGAGAAATACCTTTTGGTTATGAAGATATGATCATGAGATGATTTTCAGAAAATTTCACAAAATGGCGCCTAGATGACGTCATCAGTCAAGGTCAAGGTTGAAAACCTTACCGTGTCTTGTCCATATGCCTAAACATATGTGTGTCAAACATCAAAGCATTTGATTGAACCATTTCAAAGTCATCTTGCTAACAAAAAAGTGGGTCAAAATAAGAAAAATAAACTAGACATGTAATACTTGTTTGGAACAAGTATAGGTGGGCTGGTCAACTAAAATTTGAGACAAAATAGAACAAAAATATGCGAGATACTGCTAAAAAAAAACAATGCAATGTAGATTCATGATGTGAACGAAATCCACCGTCCGTATTATCAGGCAATAACACGCAAATTATGAAATTTCTGACATGTGGCCTTTAATCGAAATTTTCACTTTGGTGACGTCATCAAAATGAAAAATGGTGAAAATTGAGCTTGTACTTTGTATTGTCTTAGTTACAATATATCGAAATTTGGAAGAAAATCACTCAATATTTACAGAGATAGGTCTAGTCTACAACCAATTTTCCATAAATATGCTGACGTCTAATAATGTAAATTAGGTTTAGGGTTGTGATTAAAGCCTCGGTCACAAATGCCATTACGAATTGCTACGAACGCCGTACGAACGATTTTCAGACAATGGTAAGAGTAAGGGTAAGGGAAAAATGACAAAAAGTGACTGGTTTTGGCAGCTGGGTCGAGTGTCTTTGGGCCGAGTTATTTCCCGTATCTGGATTACATCGTTCATCCAGGCCAGTAGTTACGTGTTATTTTCATCAATCGTGTTGTGTTATACCTTGAATACCTTAAAATATACCAAAGCTTTTGGAAGAACCCGTCTCCAGCTGCCAAGTTTTTGTTTTTCTGATGAACAGGTTAGTAGATATTCCATTTATTTTTTGTATTCAATAGTTGAATAACTGTGTCATAAAAGCAATTACTCATGCTTGTGTATAAGTCACGGGTTCGTCTAAATCACAACATTAAAAGTGTGTGCACAAAATGGTGATCATATTTTGATGCAGTGCATGCAGTGCACGTGTAGTAGCTCAATGTGTGGATCTGGATGCGTTTTATTTTTTCGTAGGCCTACTCCAGCGAGCCCAGATTGCAGTAGATCTATGTACGTATTTTATTTTCATTCATATAATAACAAGCTACGAAAGCTTGCAAAGAGGTCACAAACTATTAAACTTTGATTATTTATTGCTTTGCCTCACTAGATCTAGATTATAAAGGTAAAAAAACTGAAGAAATACTGAGTGAGATTGTAACCCTCACTCAGCTCAATCATGTGTCGATAGGGTGTCTGATCGCGCGCACCTGGTTTTGTGTGCTAAAGTCCTTTCCATAGACACATTGCACACATAAAATATCCCTAGATAATCTATGCAGTCTATGTGCATTGCGTGACCATGCAAAATCGGTCAACGTTTTTAAAAATAAATTTAGATTCAAACCTTTATCTGTTGTGATCCTGAAGGTGATACTCAATAAATGAAGTGTCATATCATATGAAAGAGCAGATTAATCTTCATATTTCCAAAGGGGTGTAATTTCGGATTTCTAAAAATATCGTGTCAAAACAGAGATTTAAATGTTTTATTCATCTGTTCATGGTAACTCTGAGATTTCCCATTTTTGAGAATTGTCCCTCCGAGGATAATAAGTTCAATTCGTAAGGAATATGTTGATGTGCTTATTTTTTGCTAGCCCCAAGGGATCACTTACGATTTAAGTTTGAAAATACTTGACCCCCACTTTTTGCATATCGCCTAATATTAATGCTTTTCTATAATGCAGCTGTTGAGCAAAAATGATAACTTGGCGTGTAGGCCTACCACTTTTTTGTCCACTCTGGGCCAAAAATTGGATGAATATTGCCTAGACTCTAGATTTTGAGTGACTAATCTTTTGATAGAGACATCGGTGAGTGTTGAAATTTGAAATGTGTTTTTCTGAGTAGTTGATTTTTTTCGATTATCCATCCATAATGGTGAAAAATAATCTAAGAGGGAAAATTGAAATATTGTTCAGACACCCTACCCTCGACTCAAGTCAACTCCAAAGTTCTATTAGTAATACGCTGTCCTTACCGATTGAGTAACGAGTTAATGACAGGTTGATTTTTACAATTACTATCACCCTATTAACAACCTTATAGGATTCCAAGTTCGCATGCGCTGGTTTCCCTCGCGAGTGCGCCAGGGTTGGCATATTTCCTGCTTCGGGGGCTTATTTCCCGGACGCCGGGAAATAAGCGGTATTTACCGCTTTTTACTGGGAAATACCGGGAAATATATTTTTCCACTCATTTGTTCATAGGGATTGTCCAATTTTGAACATAATAACAATGGTGGTGAGTATGGTTGCTCTGGTGTATATTATTTGTGTATATTAGATAGCCAATTAAACAGATACCGAGATGTGATTGGTCCACAGCTCATCACATGATATCAATTGTGAGGATTCAAATTGTTATATTTTCCTGGCTGGTCACTTTTCGGTGTGATATTAACCAGCTGGTGAAATGAATATATTTTTAATCAATGCATGTCGCCCTCTTGGGGAATGTATGTCACCAATTACACACATTACACCATTATTGAGGGCAATTTTTTTTCCTCTTGAAATTTTTTTTTCCACATTTTTTGCTTCCCCAAAAATGCTTTTTGGAGGAAATTTTGTTTTAATATTTTTTTTTTTTATTCCTTCTCTCCCTTGAAATTCAAAAAAAAAAAATCATAATTTTTTTTTATTTACCGGTAAGAATTCTTTTTTTTCAAGTTTTTTTTTTCTTTCTTGAATTATCTCAAAAATATTATTTTTCCCCCAATTTTTTTTGCACTTCTTTTTCTAAAATGTAGATTGTCCCTGAACCCTCCCCCCCCCCCAAAAAAAAAAAACAACAATATCAAACAAAGGTTATCTAATAAACAGTTATTGACTGGCAGGGGGTACCGGTATATAACATTCTTTGGACCTGAAGGGAGTTATATTTACCCTCAGTGCTGTGAGCTTCTGGAAAATATAACCACTTGTGAAATATAACTCCCTCCAGCGGTCCAAATAATGTTTTATTACACCCCCTGCCAGTCAATAACTGTATTATGTGTGTTGTACATGAATGTACATGTATGTTTGGGTGTGTACATGTATGCAGTGTGGATTTTATAAATCTGTTTGTGTGTTGTTACTATGAGTGTTGCTACTATGAGTGTTGTGCTGCGAATTATTTTAGAACAATATTTTTAGTTGTTGAAGCTAAAAACAAGTAAAATTATTAATACCCGTTAAATAGGGAATTAAAATCATATTTCCTGTTTTTTACATATTTACCGGACGCCCATCTTATTAACCGGTATTTACTGCCCAACCGTGGCGTGCGCATGTGCACGTTTTTTTTGTGAGCTTAATCTGGGTAATTAAGGTGTGTTCTGGATAATGGATATGCATAGGATAGCCCTAGTGTCTATACAGAGTGAGTCAAAAAAAAGTTTACACTTAGAAAATTGCTTATTATTTTTTAAATCATCAATGAACATTAAATTATTATACATCTTATGAAAGAGTGTTTTATCCCAAATCATTTGGTATCATTTTTGTGTGGTATGTGTTCACGCTTGGATGACCAGGAGGCATTGTTTGGGAGAGTGCAAAAATCGACTTGCACCAAAGTTGCAATGTTATATTTGTATTAATAACAATTGGGATTTGGGTGTTAATTCGGTCTTTGCAGATCCAAATAACATCCCCAACAAAATTAATCATGCCACACATATCAAATATCAACGAACAATTGTGCGTGTGTGTGCGTCTTTGCTTCTGCAAAAATACATGCAATGCATTTCATTAGATACATTCAATTCATTCTCTCACTCCGCTAATCCTTACATAATACATACTGTAGGCTTCACTTTGGCACAAGTCGATTTTTGCACTCTCGCAAACAATACCTCCTGTTCATCCAAACGTGAACACATACCACACAAAAATGGTACCAAATGATTTGGGATAAAACACTTTTTCATAAGATGTAAAATAATTTACTGTACACAGATGATTTTAAAAAAAATTAGCAATTTTCTTGGTGTAAACTTTTTTTTGACTCACACGGTAGTATAGATCTACATACATGTATGGTGTTTTGACCAAAGTTCACGCGTGACCTACATGTAAAATAATAAATTGCTATCTAAAAAAACAGTAAGATTTCGAAAATCAGATATCACAAATAGAAAGAGGAACATGGATTTACCCAGAGATGAAATTTTCTTTGAAATTGGGTACGAAATTGTGAAAATATCGACAAAAGATTGGCAAATTTTGCAATCATTTGTGTCCGTTTTGAAAGATTATTACCGATATGGGTCTAAAAATCTTTATTTTGAGATCTGATTTTCTCAAAATTTTAAGTAAAAGGTGGTACCAACTGATTGTATTTGTACCAATTATGATAACCGTATTTGCCGGGGATAAGGCCGCAGCGCCACATAGGCCGCACTCCTGATTTTGACATTTGAAGAAAAAAAAACATATATATATCTTGCCTTGCAAATTATGATAACCGTATTTGCCAGCGATAAGGCTGCAGCGCCACATAGGTTGCACTCCTGATTTTGACATTTAAAAAAAAAAAAAAAAAAAAAAACTTTTGTCGAAGGCGGGATACAAACTCTTGCGGGATACGAAGTCCGCTTGGCTATCCCGACTCTGATGCTTTCTCTTGTGTATTGCGCCATAGCTTTGCTCGCGTGAGCTGAGACTGGATTGAGGTTGCTTAACTATGGCAAAAACTTAAATCTAGATCTACCAGTAGAGTTTGGCTGATAAGTTATGAATTTTATTTACGAGATTAACAAAACTTTGCCCTTCATTTAAAAAATATAACACATAATTGCGGTAAGACATGTGTTATTCTAGACAGTTATTCTAGAAATGTCCATCACCTTTCATTCTTTCATGTTCTGCTCGTTGGTACTTGCTGGTGTCAGTGATAGAACATTGGTCACGCACCCGATTGTCCAATGTGGATGCCCGCTAGTTCACACCACTCACGATCTATCTCTGTATGGTATGTATGGTGCATTTTACCACCACCAACGTTGTTTTTCTGAAAACTTGCAGAGTGTGCAGCATTTAATATGTAGGTGAAACCAACAGCGCTCTCAAGAAACGCTTTTATGGACACAGATCTACTGCCAACACATGCTAGCTTGACATTTCAGTTGGCCATCATTTTAATTTACCCAACCAATCTCTGACTTGATTCTATAGGGCATAGAATCTCTATTAATAGGCCATTTTCGTAATGTACACCAAATTTAATGCAGAAGTCTTGGTGCAGTGCCTCAATAGAAATTATTTCATTCACCTGATAAATATTTCAATAGACAGAATCAGAACTGCATACAAAAGTTGTTGTCAGGTTGGACAAACATTATGGCTTGACCTACCTAGCGACACTTATATATGCAGTTGTATTTTGACTATTGAAATACTATTATTCTTAACAGGTAAACAAAATAATTTGTATTGAGGCACTTCACAAACACTTATGCATTACATTTGCTTACATTAGGAAAATGGCATATTGCCTTGATTTACCGGTACTATGGTATGTTGCAGCAGGAAGCTGTAATGAGTGGAGACCCCACCCAAGAGGCTCCTTTGAAGTCATCTGTGGCACCGCGTGTCTTTTGTTTCCCCTACCGTATTCCCCTTAATCCCCCTCCAAAATTGTAGAGCTCCTAGCACTAGGTCCTCCCTTTCCACACACAGCCCAGCCCAGCGAGCATGGCGGCTTTTGCTTTCCCGGCTTGTACTTAATGGGGGAATAGTGGTGATAACTTGACAACTTCTAGCCCTGAATCAATAAATGCGCAAACATATTAACACAATTTCATTCAGTTCTTTATGAAGATAAACATTTGGAGTACCTTCCTAGCTATGTAAAAATTTCTGAAATTTTCGGAAAATGTCAATAATTAGATGAGAAAATCATGATGATGAAAACCTTTCATTCGCTCTAACTCATGAGTTCCTTGATCGATTTCGCTGGTTGAAATGGCCATATCTTCAGTAGAGCTATATGAGAATGGAAAATGCATTTGATGACTACATGTAATAGAAAATTGCATTGGTCATATGTTGTTGTGAATTCTGTATTCTATATGTTATAGCTACAGTATGAGTCAAAATAAACTACCCCCCTAACGCGTGTAACGTTTTCAATACGTTAATTATATATTTAACTGGTGTAGGCGTTACCCGTTACTTGTTAGCGTTACCCGTTAGTTTTGTTAATTTTGTTACTTAGTTTTGTTAATTTTGTTAATTTTGTTAAATGATCTTCTAAAATTGACCGAACGAAGAAACGATATATGCGCTTCAAGAAAATGATGCCTAAAATATCTGAAACATCGTAATTATCATCTCAAAGTACGAGCAAGAGTATGTTCAAAATTATTTACGATAAAACAATGCCAAATTAATCTGAAACATCCGTATTATCGTCTCAAAATTAGCGAATGAAGTTACGATATGTGCTTCGAGAAAATGATGCCTAAAATATCTGAAACATCGTAATTATCTTCTAAAATTGACCAAAAGAAGGAACGATATATGCGCTTCAAGAAAATGATGCCGAAAATATCTGAAACATTGTACTTATCATCTTAAAATACGAGCACGAGTATATTCAAAATTATTTACGATAAAACAATGCCAAACTAATCTGAAACATCCTAATTATCTATAGGCCTACAGTAGGTTTGCGGTTGCACCATGTGTGAGAGAGAGAGAGAGAGAGGTTGGAGAGGATGAGTGGCTCGACGTTTCGAACAGGTTGACTATCGTCGTCAGGAATGGAGAATAGCTGGCGTGCGTGAGCTTAAGTCACCGGGGTGCGGATGTCAGGGAAAATGTAAATACATCTTCACTGAACATGACTTAATTTTTTGGTGCCATGCATGGCTTCAAAGCTCGATGCTTGCATATTTTTGCAAAAGAGTGAATAAAGAACTTAGGGAAGCAGATGGCGTTGCGTAACATTTTGTAATATTTGGAATGCCAGAGAGGTACTGTGCATTGATATGGACAGCTGTTGATGGAAATGATGGCTGGAGATTGTTAAATTTCTTTTTGTTAAGCCAGGTTAATCTTGTATATTTTTCCCTCAGAATATTCTTTCGAGACCCTCTCCATTCATTACAGTTTCCTGGTTGCAGCAGGGAGAAATATTGGATGAGATGTTTTTTTAAAATGCAAAATTTGTTTCTACTTTAAATTGAAATTTGGACAGCTACACAGGCCATTAACAAAGTTTGTTCTCTCCTCAGATTCAAGGTCGTGAAACAAAAGACTCCAAACCAGACCACCATTGACAGATTACCTGTTGGGAGTCTCGTGACCACCACTTTCATCCCATCTTACTTCACCTCAGTACCATCCTCCGTGGTAATCACCACATTCTCCACACTTTTGACTGTCTTCATCATTCACGTAAGCATCCCTTTGTTTACCCCCTCCCCCCTCAATTTGGTTTTGTTTACTACCATGTAAGTCAACAAAAAATTGACACCTAGAAAATTGCTAATTATTTTAAAAATCATTTTTGAACAGTAAATTATTTTACATGTTATGAAAGAGTGTTTTATCCAAAATAATTTGGTATAATTTTTGTGTGGTATGTGTGTTTACGCTTGGATGAACAGGAGGCATTGTTTGCGAGTGTGCAAAAATCGACTTGCGCCCAAGTGATGCCTACAGTATGTATTATGTTGGGATTAGCAGAGTAAAAGAATGAATTGAATGTATCAAAATGAACATTGCATATGCCTTTTGCAGAAGCAAAGTCACACACACACACATGCGCTCACAAATGTTTGTTTATATTCTATTTTTTGATATTTGATATGTGTGGCATGACTAATTTTGTAAGGGATGTTATTTGAATCCTCAAAGACTGAATTAATACCCAAATCCCAATTTTTTTATTCAAACATCACATAAGCAACTTTGGCACAAGTCGATTTCTGCACTCTCGCAAACAATGCCTCCTGTTCATCCAAGCGTGAACACATACCACACAAAATGATATTAAATGATTCAGGTTAAAATACTCTTTCATAAGATGTATAATAATTTATTGTTTATAGATGATTTTTTAAATAATGACCTTGTATGTACAATATATGCATAAATAGCTCATATTTGTGATATCAGATCTGATAGGCAGATTACTATCAAAATTGAGTTGACAAATAAACTTAGTGCATGTTATGCCATATGCAGTCAGAGATCTATCTAGTTTGTTTTTTTTAATTGCAAAATTTGGTTCTACTTTAAATTAGAATTGGACAGCTACACATGCCATTAACAAAGTTTGCTCTCTCCTCAGATTCAAGGTCGTGAAACGGAAGACTCCAAACCAGACCACCATTGACAGATTACCTGTTGGGAGTCTCGTGACCACCACTTTCATCCCATCTTACTTCACCTCAGTACCATCCTCCGTGGTAATCACCACATTCTCCACACTTTTGACTGTCTCCATCATTCACGTAAGCATCCCTTTGTTTACCTCCCCCTTTCAATTTGGCCTCCCTTACTATATCTCTCTGATCCCTTTGTTCTTATGCTTTCCTCTCTTTTCCCACCCAAATGCCTTCCCATTCAAGGTTTTTATCACTGTTTTCATTAGGCATCCCCTATTCTTATTTACATTTTCCTTTACCCTCTCCCTTGTCCCATGATATATAACTTATATATATATATATATTCCGTGTGTGTTTCCTCTCCATTCCCAGCCAAGTTTGATTGGGAGTCACAGCCTCTTTATTGCTCTATGTTTACACCCTCTTCCTTAGCTGTATGCATATGTTTGTATTATGTTTAGTATATAGTATTATGTTTTTTATGTTTCCTCGTCAGTTAGCCTCTGATGAAGTTTGCGCTAGGATAAAAAAATTAGGCCCTACATTAACTCTCATTAAATTAAAATGATCAGATAAAACTTTGACATGATTTTGTACCTCCTTCATGAAAGCACAATCCCATAGATATACTTCATGTGTGTGTACTTAAGAAAAGAAGATATCATTTTGAAGGTTGGATATGTTTTGTTGCATCTTCAATTGTATGTGATAGGGGAGCTCAACACCAAAGCTATTTTGTAAAACACATATCAATTTTAAGATTGTGTATAGCCTTCTAATATGTTATTTATAGAGTTTGATAGCAAGTTTTGAGAAAATTGCAATTTATACACAAGTAGTGAACAATAACTTTCCACAATTTTGTGTTGGGATCATTCAATTCATACCAGTTGTACATACCTTGAAAACTTGTGTCCGAAACAAAAATTGTTCACTTCATAAAATATTCACTCATGCAAAATAATATGAATGTTAATGATTTAAATTTTATTATATATTTATATTTTGTATTACAGATACTGTACATATCAACAGTTGATTGACGGTTGGAAGTTCCCATCACACTTGTCATCAAACCAGACAGCTTTCAACCAGAATCTTCCAGGTGTAAAAAAAAAAAAGTAAAGTAATACATTAGTAATATGAAATGCATATATTTTGGATTGTAAATCATTTCTTTATTTAAAAAAATAAATAAAAATACATACAGTTCTGCACATGTACAAAATCACACACCCAAAATAATGTTTATAATTATATGGAAATTACATGTACACTGTAGGTGTAAATGTCACCCTTTATATTTTGCGATTAATTATAGGTTTTGTCGTCAGATTAGAAGATGATGGAAATCATAGCAGAGGGAAAAAAAGAGATTACCTTTTTTTTAGGTTGGAGAGGTTTTGTTGCATCCTCAATTCTATGGGTGACAAGGAGGCTCAACACCAAAGCTATCTTGTAATACACATATCGATTTCAAGATTGCGTAAAGCCTTTCAATATGTTTTCTATAGAGTTTGATAGCAAGTTTTGAGAAAATTGTAATTAATACACAAGTAGTCATTGGTCATTATACAAATGATGCACAGGTTTGAGTGCGTCGGTAGGGATTGTGTGCACAAGGTACCTTTGAATGGTTTTAGACCAAATTCAAAGGTAGCACGTGCACACAATTGCACCGACCCACAAATTAAACCTGTGCATCATCTGTTTTATAAGATGGGGCCCCCAAAATTGTCAAAAATACAACATTTTGTTATTTTCCAGATTTATTGGATGCATGGCAAAATCATGCATCTGGTAATTATAATTAGCGGACGCATGATTTTTAAAATTGCATAATTTGTTTGTTGTTACTTAGTGCAATGGATTTAAACAAATGGAGAATGACTTAAGCCTAAACCTTAACAAAATAAAGTCAGGCCTAACTGACCTTTACATGAAACCTTAACAAAAGAAAGTCATTAAATCAATAAAACTTATTTTGCAAGCTTTTTTTAGTGTTGGGGAGGTGCAATCTAAATTAGAAGAGGTCTGGATCTTGTCCATATCAAGTACAAAAATTGAGGCTTTATGTGTGGTGCTTCCTGGCCCCTCTCGCTTCAGTTTCACCAACACAGCCTCGAGAAATTGAAATTTGTTACAGATATCTAAAGTACAGTGATCCAAAAAAGTGGGGTTGTATGCCACAGCGAAGGTACTAAAGTCTAGGTTTACAACTCACCGTTGGTCTATGTACAGAAGCATAGAACTTAGTTTAGAACTATAACAGTTTGTCCATTTCTGGCGTAAAAATGTCTCCTAAATTGACGTTCTTGATTTGTGCAAACTTTTCCAACTTTGAGAATCCATACTTTAATTGAAATTTTCATGCTAGTCACACCTGAATCATCCAACAATTTAGATAATTCTTCTTCTTATAGAAGCTGGAAAATCAAATCGCCACCGCGATTTCGCCATTTTGTTCGGGATATCAGTGTTATCGATTCCAATATTGCATATATCGTGTTGATATTGCGTGCATCCAGTAAAAATAATTACACAGTAATTGACCGATCAGATTGCAGGGATTCTTCTAAGCATCTTATAGCACATTATGTGAATGAATCATAATTGAATGGCCTTTTTTATATTCAATATCAAAACAAAATATTAACATAAATTGATATCTATCCAAACAATACTGATGGTTTAAAAAGCATTCCATCTCATTTTTTATGTCTCATGCATATCTTTTTCTTTTCTTTTCTTTTCTCTGTCTGCAGGTCCTGGATTTTCAACGGTATATGTTTTGCGTTCTTTGTATAAAAGACTTCTATACACTCCTTCCATTTTCAGACGTCTTGTTGGACTGAAATATTTTTCACCTCCACTCATTTCACCACCCCTCTAAGAAGACATTTCCCATAAGCAAAAAAATCATTACATGTTCATTTTTCATAAGAATTTATCACAGCTGTGAGCTCATTTCATCCATTTCACCTCATTTTTTCATGAACGATTCATCCCAATAACGCTTGAAATAAGATCTGAAACGAATTGGAAAAGACTTGAAACGAATTGGAAAAGACTTTGAACGAATTGGAAAAGACTTGAAACGAATTGGAAAAGACTTTGAACGAATATTAAATAACTGATTACAATTCCTTAAAAAGTGTAAACGTGTGAATTTCTTTAATTCTTGGTGTAAAAGTGAATGATATTTTGGTATACGAGTTGTTAAGCTTATTGTAAATAAATTAATGATAAAGAGTGAATTTTCTGATATTAAAAAAACAACTTTGGGCTGTGGTGAGTTGCTTTGAATTATAAACTGGTGGAATTTAAAAAGATTGGTGACAAGGTTGTGTGTGTTTATATATATAGAACGTTAAAGACAATACAAATATTGCACAAAGAAAACGGGAGATTGCATAAGAGACTATAGGAAAAGCGAAACTGACTGTCAAGGAACAGATAATTGAGCATAGTGGTATATTCGAGATTGTAAGAGACTAAATAAAGGAGTGAGTCCGATTCATTGAATAACGGCAAGATAGTCTTTGTGTAACTTACAGGAACGCAAATAATTTAGCAGAGTTGTTTGATAGAAGAGGCACAGTGTGATTGATTGTTAAGGAAAGAAATTTCAAGAACGTGAAACCAAGAGTGACGTAAAATTTGTTTATAATCGAGTAAAACGAGGGGTTTTGTGAGAACGTGAAGATCAAAATAAGCAAAGTGTGCTAAGTACATATAAAAAAGAGTGACGGTGAGATAAACCTGATTACTAAAGTTCCGAGTATATGCACGTATGTTTTTATGCCTATGGTATAATCATTAAAACAAAAAGAAAACGCATTATATATTGAAGAACTATACATCATATAGATATAAGCCAAGAGATTGCATTTTTTCCGTCTAAATTATATACGTGAAGTTCTGAGCCAAATCGTATCAATTTGTACGGCTAATCATTAAAACCATGTTGGAAACGGACACATCACTTGGACCGGATAGTAACACGTACATCATGAAAGGCAATGGGGATTGTTGCGTCAGTAACACGTACATCATGAAAGGCAATGGGGATTGTTGCGTCTGTGGCCTAGATATTCAAAAGAATGAGAACAAAACAACCTGTGAAACATGCTTGAACCATTACCATGTGCCATGTATGGGATTACCTTCTGCAGAAGAGTTGACTAATGCTCAAGTAGTATGGATATGTTGCTATTGTGGTAACAACAATTTGTCTAAGCGCTTATATGACCAATTTGGTATCCCTATTGACGTAAACATGTACGAACATCTAACGAAAGACAATAATGATAATGACCACGCAGCACAGCCAAGTCCTATAACTGGTGCACAAGACAAGAGAAACAAATCTTCATCAAGCGGGAAAAAGCATATTCCTCGGGGCAAGAAAAGACTACTTTCGCCAAACCAATCAACCACAAAGAAAAGGAAATCTGATGAATGTCAGAATAGTAACAGAATCGAAGATAATGATTGCCAATCGTGTACAAGTGACATTAAAACGACATTCACAAGAACTACAGTTAGGAAGAGAACCAATTATGATCGAACTGATGTAACTGCTGATGATAATGCCGAAATTTGGAGAACGGTAAAGACGAGGAGAACTAAGCCGCTTAATGAAAGAGGTGTGTCCCGTAAAGCAACGAATGCGAATAATGACCCATATTCTAGCATGGACAAAGGCAAAGGTCGAGAGAAAGGTGTCACGTACATTGGGAAAGCAATGGCATACTTGTACACAAGGTCAACAAGAAGAAAACAAAAATCACATTTGAAGCAATCTCAAAATGGAAATAATAAAGACCTTGCCAACGACTCAACAGAAAAGAACATCACCACCAATGAGAACGACCTTGCCAACGACAAAACAGGAAAACACTCCACCAAAGAAAACGAAGATAACAATAGTAATAGAGTTTTTGTAAAGAGTTTGAGCACTCCTGTAAAAGAGAATGAACAAGAAAGTCAAATATCGTCCGACCATAGTTATCAAATTGGTGTGATGGCTACACTTTTTTCTAAGAACAACGACATGAGCAAATGGACCTCTTCAAATCTTGATACTATCGTGACATGTGCTAAAGACGCTGATATACTGGATGATCCACGTGAATCGGCCAACAATCCTAGTGGAAAGATAATTCATGCCTTTGACAAATGTTTTGAGTTAGAAATTTGTGAATCTCACACCGGTCCTCTTATACAAGAACACACTGAAACAAATGTACCCTCTGGTAAAGTTCCTTTGATCAATGCCCTACAAGATGCACTAGATACACAACGAAAGTCAGATGGATGCCTAGTCGAATTTAACGAACATACTTTTGTTATAATGCCTCATACCACTGGATATTATATCTTTGACACACATGCACAAAAAGAAATAGGTGGACGACACATGTTGATGCACACGAACACATGGACAGGTGCTTACGCATTTTGTTTACAATTGGCACATATAACGAATCTCCCAAATAGTGTAGCATACAGACTCATCCAAGTGAAAGTACATGACCCTCAACAGGACAATATATCGCAATGTCCGAAAGACACAAACAAAGATGACGAGAGTAAAACTGTACAAAAGAACACACTTGCATCTACAAGTAATCTAATTGAAGAAGGCAAAACCAACAACGCACCACAATGTCCCAAACAATTATCCACAGTGACATCAAATACAAATGAAAACCGCCCCATCGGTGATTCTCCAAAGATTAAAATCCCCACAGAAAGCATCGATGAAGAACAGGTATTTGCAGATGATAAATCAAACCACCCGCAACAGCTAGAAGAGGGAAAAGAAAAGAGTGAAATCAATACTTTCAATGAACAATCCGAAGACAAAGCATTTGAAAGCACTTCCAACAAATCGAATGGGAGACGGAAATGGAATATCCTTGAGAATGAGACCGATTTGATTTCAGACAGCATGAAAATCACACATATGTCACATACAAGCATTTCTGGAACTCGTAAGAATAAAGCAGAATCCTCTCAGGATTTATCGCTCGATTTAAAGTTGGATGAACCAAACGTGACGGGAATGAGCACTACGAAAATAGAAGAGGATGTAACAAGTATGACTTCAAGCATATTTGATGAAGACCCTGATGATTTGATAATACTAGGAGAAATACAAAAGTCTGTCTTGCACTTTTCACCTGTGAATGAAATGAAGAAGAAAGAATATTGCACAAAGTTAAACATTCAACAGATCACACCCACTTCTGATAATGAAGGTCAAACATGTCAACCTATTGAACATCCATGTACAATCAAACATGTAACGGGTGATGGAAATTGCTTCTTTCGTGCCATATCATTTTGTGTATCAGGAAACGAGAACAACCACTTACTTGTGAGAAAAGCTATTGTTGTTCATCTTTTGAAAAACAAGAACAGATTTGGGACACGTGTGAGAGATGGTTTTGCCAACGTTTCAGATTACGTGACAAAGAGCAAAGTATTTCAAAAGGGTACCTGGGCTACCGAAATGGAGATTATGGTTTTGGCGAATTTGATTGAAACTGATATATACATATATGACGAGCAGAACGCTAAATGGAGTATATTTTCGGGCAAGGATGTACAACTTGGAGTGGTTACCTCTGACAAAGGAATTTACTTGAGACATACTCAACGTATACATTACGATGTTGTTTTGTCAGTACAATCATTTCACTGCGATAATTCCAACGAACAGTACATTGGAAATGAAAACGAAAACACACTTGCAACTGATGCTCCACAATATCAAGAGAAATGCACAAATGATAGTGATAATATAAACATTCCCATCAATGGTTTGCAAACAGTTGAGGCTCCCCAAAAAAGCATCCATGTAATTTCAGTGACCGATGAAAGTGAAAAGAAAATTGGATCGTCTGTTGCTCCAAAAGTATCTATGTTAATTAGACAAAAGACATCGAATGTTTGTGAGACTTCTGAAAGAAAAGGCATGAAACAAACGAGTAAAACAAACAAGGTGGACAAAGCCTATAAGCAAAAGTGTCATGAAAGTCGTACAACAAATGACCCATCCCAGTTTCAGAAAAAAATACGCACAGAATACCACTTCAATCCTATATCCTATGAGAATGCCAGTCCTACGGATAAAACCCAGTCAAACGAACATAACAAAACGGGTACGAAGGTAAATTTACAAAAAACGATTATTGCTCAGGGAACGTTCAATCAGGGCCATCCAAGATTTGGCAATTCAAGCGGAAAACAATGTGTTTGTAATTCTTTAATTGCAGTGTTAAACAGCAAGTCTAAGAAAGCCAACCAATGGAAGAGTTGTGATCTAGATCGAATTTTGACAATAGGTGATAATTTGTATACCAATATAAGGAAAAGCACTTCAGTCACAACGGATTACTTAGCCATGAATCAATTACCAACGGAATTGGATGGATACGATGACTGGAATGACTATTTTACGATTGTATACCACGAAACAATTCTAGGACAGTTATTGGAAGTTGAATCGCATAATAAAGAACTTGGTTTTGTGACATTAGAACAGGCATTCGAACAACAACTGTGTAAGACTCGTGATGCCCATTTTGTGACTTTCGCCAACAACACATTTGTAGTTATAACAGGACATGAGGGGTATTTTATATTTGATTCGCATTCTAGAAGCAATCGAGGCTTTTTAAGTGGAAATGGGTACAGCATCTTACTTTATACACCAAGCTGGCAAGGGGTTTACAAACATTGTATGACATTAGCAAAGACATTGAGTTGTCATATGAACCATTATTTTGAAGTAACTGGTATATCAGTACAAGCAATATCCGGTAAGAATGAGACATTAACCGGATTTCCTATATTACAAGGCATCCCTACTTGTCAGAATATATCCTCAACTACGCAATACAGCACAACGTCTCAATGCCCAACACATTCTGATGAAAAGAAACGGCAATATGAAGCACCAAGTCTAAATTCAAAAAAGGAACACATTATTGAGCTTACTCATGAAACGACTGATGATTTGCACAAAACGAGTAAACCTAAACTTCCCGATGCACATGACTACAATGGCCAACTATTGTCATTAAAGAATGTAAGGGTTGAATTGAGAAAATTACAAGAAACGGAATTTGGAGACCATTGTTTTGCCAATAAAACGGAAGCGACTGTGACAATAGACAGCTCTGTAGTTGAAAACTTAAAACACTCTAAAGTAGAAGATGGAAAAACCAAAAAAAGGATCACTAGTTTGGAAAAAGATGCAAAAGCCAAATCAATTGAAAGCGTTTCCAAGAAATCGAATGGAAAACGAAAATGGAGTAAACTTGAAAATGGAGCTCAACTTAGTTCTGACCGCAAAAAACTCAGACGAACGTCACAAAGGAACAATTCTAGAAAGCATGATTACCAAGCAGAATCCAATCGGGATATGACTGATTCAAAATTGAATGAACCGAAGGTCACCACAAGAGCCAGTGCTAGAAAAGAAAAAGAGATTAACATGAATCCTGAAGGAACAAAAAAGAAACGAAAAAAAAAAAAGAGTTATGGTCAAAGGAACAAACAGAGCAGAGAGATCATGAGGGAAAAACGAGCTACAGCAAACAAAGAAACTAGTATCATGAAGGAAGAAATACGTTTACAAAGTACAATAGCTCGCAAAGCAAGGAAATCAAATGCAATGAAGGTTAGATATGCGAATGATAAAGCTTACAAAACACAACAAATTCTGAGCGCAAAGATTGCACAAAACCAAAAGTATTACGACAGACATTTCTTTGAAATAAACAAAGACAACAATGGAAATAAAATTCATATATGTGGTGAAACTTTTAGGAACAGGCATCTTAATGCAATGAAAGAAAAATATCACTCTGACTTAGAGTATAGAACCAGAAAAATCAAAATCGTAAAAGAAAAATATTTGTCAAATGAAAGGTTCAGGGAAAAAGTTAAGTCAACATCAAGAATTCGGTACAAGAATCCACAATTTAAAGGTGAACATAAAGCAAACATGAAAAATAGTATGAAAAAAAAATATGCCAATCCTCATTTCAGACAACAGCACAAGGCAACAATGGGAAATGTCATGAGAAAAATATATGCCAATCCTCATTTCAGACAACAGCACAATGCAACAATGGGAAATGTCATGCGAAGGAGATATGCCAATCCCCATTTCAGACAACAGCACAAGGCAACAATGGGAAATGTCATGAGTAGGAAATATGCCAATCCTCATTTCAGACAGCAGCACAAGGCATTAATGAAGAGTGTTTCGAAAAACAACTATAGCAATACAGAATTCAAACAAAAAAGGTCAATGTCTTTAAAAATGAAATACCGAAGAATCGCTAAATTCAGGCAAAATGTACTCAAACGTAACTTGAAAAGAGCTGAACTTAATAAACTGAAAATGACCGATTTACATAATGTAATAAAGCACTTTCGACAAATTACTTGTGGTGGACCAGAATATGTGTGCTCTGTGTGTTTCAAACTTCTTTTCAAAAGCCAGGTAATGAAATGTATTAAAAGCAAATATGTGGACACTTCATGTATCAGTGAAAAATATCTGCATGTCTGTAATTCACAATGCAATTTAATATGTGACATAGCAAAATCTGATAGATCATTTTTATGGATTTGTTTCACCTGTCACAACAAATTACGAGCTGGAAAACTACCTGCAGAAGCAAATATAAACAATCTACAACTACATGATATTCCGGAAGAAATTGCACAGTTAAACAATTTAGAACAGCATTTAATTGGATTGCATATCCCTTTCATGAAATTAATGGCCTTGCCCAAAGGTGCTCAAAACGGAGTTCATGGTCCAGTTGTGTGTGTACCTTCAAACACAAATGAAACAGTGGAAATGTTGCCTAGACCAGAGACCGAAGACCAAACGATTCGTGTTAAATTGAAAAGGAAATTGTCATACAAAAGCTATTACAAATACAAGTATGTGAATAAATCTAAAGTGTTGAATGCACTACAGTACTTGCAAGAAAACAATAAGTGGTATTTTGATGTCGCCATTGATAACGAGTGGGAAAATTCCTTTTCACAGAATAATGACATACACGAAGACGATGTTGAAATAGAAGACTCAGCAATTGATGAACACATGTTGCCAAAAGACCCAAACCCTGAAGAAAACAATCCTATCGACAGTTTACATGATCAACCATTGCACAAAAACGATGTTGAAGATGATTCGGAAGAGCGGTTATGTGGGATTCAGTTAGATACATGTTTACAACCAGCAAATATTGGGCAGGACATTTTAGATCAATGTTTTGATGAAATACTTTGTTGTGCTCCTTGTGAAGGAAACAGTCCTGTATCAATACTGAAAGATGAAAGCAATGAAGCAAAATGCTTTCCGTCATTATTTCCAAAGGGTCAGCCAACATTCCATGATGTTAGAAGTGAAAACATAACCTTGGGTCGTTATTTGCAAAATAGATTGATGCATGTGGATAACAGATTTGCTCAAAACACTGATTATATTTTTTATGCCCAGTATATCTATGAAATGCAGCAAGTTTTGTCACAGGTTTCTATTGCATTAAGACAAAGTTCAAACAGGAAGGATGATTTCTCTTGTATCACTGCATCCGATTTCAAAAATGTGGATAAAGTTTGTGAAATACTAAAAGCGGACAAGGGGTACAGATTCTTGAAACAAATTCGTGGCACACCACCATACTGGCAAAATGCACAGAAAAATGTTCTGGCAATGGTGAGACAACTTGGTAAACCAACCTGGTTCGGATCATTTTCTTCAGCTGATTTGAGATGGCCTGAAATAATGAATACACTACTCAGACAAACGGGCGATGCAAGAAAGATAGACGATTTAGATTGGGCAGACAAATGCAATCTTCTAAAATCAAATCCAGTTACTGTTGCTAGAATGTTTGATAAACGATTTCACACTTTTTTGAAAAAAGTTATATTATCACCATCTAAACCCATTGGTAACGTCATAGATTACTTTTATCGTATTGAATTTCAACAAAGGGGATCACCTCATGTTCATATTTTGATATGGATTGAAAATGCACCGATATTAGGAGTTGATAAAGATAAAAATGTTGTACAGTTCATTGATAAGTACATTTCATGCGAAAAGCCTACAGAAAAGGAAGATCCAGAACTACATGAAATTGTTTCACACGTCCAGAGCCACAGTAAGAAACATTCTAAATCATGCAAAAAAAAGGGAACGACGTGTAGATTTAATTTTCCTAGACCAATATCCCAAAAAACATTTATCACGAAACCAGTCGATGTTGGTGAAGGTAAAGATATGAAAACCGATCAAAAGAATGCCAAAGAATTGTTGGAATCTGTAAAAAATGAATTAGCAAACCATACCAACTATGAAAGTACAACTGACCTTTTTGGAAAACTTGGTATTACCCAAGAACAATTTGAGAAGGCATATGCTGAATTAGCATCCCAAGAAAGTATAATCCTCAAAAGAAAACCACAAGATGTCTGGATAAATCAATTTAATCCACACTTACTTAGATGCTGGAATGCTAACATGGATTTGCAATATGTTTCAAATGTATTTGCCTGTGTTTCTTATGTTGTATCTTACTTGTCAAAAGCTGAAAGAGAGGTGGGAATGTTATTGAGCCATACACTATCGGAAATAAAAGAAGGAAATAATGATGCAAAGCAAAGCATGAAAAAACTTGGTCAAGCGTATATGCATAACCGTGAAGTATCAGCACAGGAAAGTGTTTATCGTGTTTGCTCTCTGAGACTAAAAGAATGTTCAAGGAAAGTTGAATATATACCTGTTGGACCTGACCCTATCCGAATTTCTTTACCTCTTAAAGTAATACAAAACCGAACAGATGATAACGAGGAGAATATTTGGATGACAAGCAAGGTTGACAGATATAAAGCTCGACCAAATGGTTCCAAATTTGACAATATGTGCCTTGCTTCCTTTTGTTCTGAATACAGAATTTTAACAACTTCTCAAATGGACGCTTCACGTTGTAAAAGAAACAAAAATGTATTTGAATTAAAACAAAATCTAGGATACATTCAGAAAAGAACACGTTCAGATGATGCAGTTATACGATATGCCCGGTTCAATCCTAAAATATCGCCTGAAAATTATAATTTAAGCCTATTACAACTGTTTCTGCCGTATCGCACACAAGAGCAATTAAAACCTCCAGGATTCGAGACCTATGAACATTTTATTCAGAGAGGTTATGTTAA